CTGCTGTGAAACAAAAAAGCTTGTTACTGTTGATTGCTTATACTCAGATTTTCACCTTGTTAGAAAGGCTGGTAATACACAACATAATTATGGTTCACAACTGCCTCAGCCATCCACGGAGCATCTCTCCTAAACTGTCACAAAGGAAACGGCACAAAGCTAGAACCAAATACAGCAGCAAAAAGGATCCGCCCCTTATGAACAGAGTCCTTCCCGCTGTGATGAGGGGATTACTCAGCATCAGCCCACAGGGGAAAATATACACACCTGGAGTCCATCGTCTTATCCCTCAACTCCACCTCAGAAACTCCTCAGCTCTTTATTCACCTTCTCCTTCAAAATTACACACACAGTAACTTGGGATATTTTATGAAGCAGAATTAACTGATGCTGGAGTTGCAATCTGGCATATCATGCAAAGGCAGCAAATAATACCAGATGATACCAATTCCTTTTTATTATTAATGCAGCGTTGACCATAAGACCCAGTATGTGATGAGACTCCTGTGTACACGGCAAAATCAGAATGCTATGTTCAGAGCATGTAGACAAAGACAAAATGAGGAAGACAACTTCTTTGTCTTTGGATTAACTTTGGGTCTTTTTATGGGTAGCACTGCATAGCTCCAGTTTAAGCTTGGCAGATTTACCCAAGAGAGCACGAAAGGAGGAACTACTGACGTGACTTGCTTGATTCAGTTTTTGTACATGACAGTTTGGGGCCAAAAGGCAAACATCCCACTGCCTCCAACCACTAGAAGGAAAATCCTGTCCTGAGACCCTACAGGGGTGCATGTGGAGAAAAACACTTCAGTTTAGAGGACAGAAAGTAGCAGAGTGACTGAAAGTGGAAACTACTTTCCAAGCACAGGCATACAGTTCCAAATGAACACATCTAAGTTTAAATAAGTGTACATATATAGCTATAAGTAAAACTTGATGGGTACTGCAAAAATATTCAGCTAAAAGCCTCATACTCCAAAAACGTCAACACAATCCCTCATAAGGTTACTACCATAAAAGATATCCCCAGATAAACAAGACCCCCCCAACTCTTGTATGCTATTAATACTAGCGAACTACTAGCAAATTACTTTTGAAGTAATTTTAAAAAATTGGTCTAACCCACAGATGAATGACAGCAGTAATTCATTAACTTAGCATGGGAAAAACTCATCTTTTTTTCCCAACAGTGTAGCAACAAAGATTTCCAGACTCGGCATAACTTACCTGCTGATGAGAGAACTTCACTTTGGGATTGTTGTCAATCTCCCACAACCCTTCATTAAAACCCTTTCTTTTATTTGGTTTGCCATATTTATCTTTATTTTCAGAGTAAGGGAATATGTCCTTTGGTCCCAAAAACGCCCTTAAGGAGAGAAAGAACAAAAAGAACAAAACTGCATGTTTTAAATGGTTAGTCTTTTCAAAAAAGTAAGCCCCAAACGTTATTAGGCTATGAAATTCTTTACTTTTGCAACAACTAATTCTGCTAAATAACTGTCTCGAGTTTTCTTAACTTTTGCCTTCAACAGCCTGAGTTTTCCATCGCTACCACCACACATACAGACCTTCTCCTTCCCAGGGCATTGAGTGCGTGGGCAAGAAGTACCTGATGCTGCATCTTAAAATTGCAGCTGATATGACAACCAACTACTGTGAACCAGAACAACTGAAAACTGTGTAGCTTGCAAACAAACAGAAAGAGCAATTGCTTCCTTAGGAAAAACCATCAGGATTAAATGTTAAGAATAAAGAATCCCTGTATCTGGACAACATTAGGCAAGGGAAGAATTTAAACGAGAAGAATGGGCTCCAAATTAACAAATGAAATCTTTCAGTGTTCTTAAATGAAAAATAATCCAGTTAAAATACAAAATTTAGTATTTTTAGTGTATTACACAAGAAAAAGCAACACTTGAATACACTGCCCACATCTTTGTAAGAGTGCTAAGTAGTTCAGTATTTTCCAGCATGTCAGAAAAGGACCTCATATCTTGATTTACCCAACTTAAACAATAAAAACTTTAAACTGTTCCTTATTTTAAGTTTCTCCCTCAATCCCATTTTTGATGAAGGAAACATTAAAAATATTTTATTTTTATTTAAGCTACTCTCATAGTAGAGGTTAAGTCTTTGTCAGGCAATTAAGCAACACTGCTGCATAGCACTACCCCTTCTGTAAGCTGTGTAACTAAAGCTCTTAGCCCAGGAGGAGCTCATCTCCTGTCAGGGTCACAGCACCCACATTACCAGCTTCTGTAAGGGAAAACAAAACTTGGGAAAACAAAGCAACGTATTACTGAGAACCAACATTCTGCTAAAGAACACAGAAGTCTGTTTAATTCCTGACGTACTTCCTGACTTTTCAAATTAGGATTTCATCGTGGCAATCCACAATGCAACTCCCCTAATGCTGCTAACAGGAGGAGACAATTCTTACTTTCACACTGTGCCTAGACAGAGCTGTGCCCAATTGTGCACACGTTAGATCCAACTGTTCAAGTACCTGCAGCTTTTTGCTTTCTAAAGTATTGGCTCACGGGAAAGCTAAAACATACTTCCAAGCTCCACTCTCTTATCTTCTTGATAATAATATCAAAAGAGTGAGGAATGGACATTTCAAATTTACCCACAAATTACAAAAAAAAAAAGCACATCTTAGGAGCTCAAGCTAAATTTAAAATTGGCCATGATGCTTTTCAAAATTTGCAAAGGTATTTTTAAAGCCTTAGATAAGGAGTTGTTTCTGTCTCCCCTGTATTCCACCTGCATCCCTAACTTAATTACAACTGCACAAAGCTCCACTACACTCCAGAATGTTACATGCATTACCAAGAGCAGGATCAAAGCAATATTCTGCTTTCAGCTGCCAAAAAAAACGCAGCTGGGGAAAAAAATATTTAAGGAAAAAAAGTAACCTGGTGCATTGTTTAAAAACATAATTTCAAAAAATGGTCAAGATTTAAACAACACAACCTTGAATTGAATTCCATGAACTTTCCTTTACCCACCAAAATATGTATTCACACACACAAAAAAAAAAAAAAACCACACACAAAAAAAACCCTGAGTCTTTGAAAGACCTCCTGAAAGATGAGAGCAGTTAAAGAAACACATGGGTGTAGGAGGCAAGCATAAAGAATTCTTTTTTACAGGAAGATCACTTTAAAGAAACAAAAAAGCAAGTACTGTCAGAGAGAGAAGATGCTTACTTACTCTGTAATTCAGGGCAATGTATCTGGTTTTAGCATAGCTTAGTAAATTATAAGTGCAAACTACCAAATTAAAACCATTTCAATAGATACTTAACAAGATGGAAGAAAAGCAAGGCCTTTCCACAGAATGGAAGAAAGAGTACTTGTACCCATAACTTCTACCTGTGACCTGGCTACATACCATTTACCATTTTGTTAAGAAAACCAGCAGAATTAAAAACACACCATTGCAGGGTTTCATTTATTTTTAAATAAAATCAGACAACAAATACAGCATTGAATTTGAAGTCCCGGGAATCTACACTAGGACAACTATCATGCTCCAAGAAACATGATAATTTTCAAAGTACAACCCAGCACATTTGTGACCAAATTTAGCAGTGGCAGAAATATGGTCCCTCAAAGCCAATGTTGTATGACTGCAAACTGCTACTATTGCTGAAAGTACTCAAAGATAAATATTTTGCAGGTTGACAGGTATAAAGCTAACCGCACTTCCTCATTTTTCCCTCTAGATCTTATAGAAAAACAACACATAAGCCCAAACATAACCTCAAAACCAAAACCCAATACATTATTATTTGCCCGTTTCTCAATTATTGCCTATTTCATGGTTCTCAGCCTCATCTCACCTTCTTTGAGAACACACTGTTAAGAATTTTGAGGATATACAGGACTACAATTAAAGTCCATTACTGAAGAATGAAAAACCTACATGCCATACTGCTGTAGGTAGGATTTTTTTATTTTTCTTCGGACAAGGAAAGTGTACTTGGATAGCTTAAGCAAGTGTTGAGAAGCAGGTCTTGTCAAGACATTAATTTAGGAAGAACTTGGTCTGTTGCTGAATAGTTTTAAATATACTACATTCAGACATGCTGTTAATTTCTTGTCATGGCATTCTACAATGAAAGAAGTATGACCCTTGAGTATGAAGGACTTACGTCTCATGGGTGCCAAAAAAGAAAATAGGCATTTTATTCGTAGGAGGCTTGACTGCTCCATCAGGAACTTCATCCACCTACAGAAAAGACAGACTATAATTCAAGTCAAGTAACAGCTGAGAACAATCTAGGAAAAAAAAAAAAGTTAAGCATTAAAAAAGAAAAAAAAGCTACAGAGAAGGTCTCTTTTTAAGATCTCAAGATCAGTTTTCAACTTATCTTAAAAAATACAGCAGAATCAAATGCAGTATTAGCAACAATAGCAAATAACTACACTTTTTGTGTTAGAGCAACACTTTTCACATGACCGCTTTTCTTTAAAAGGAGAGACATGATGTGCTCAGGTGAAAAGCAACATTCAATTCCACCCAAATACCACCCCTACTTCAGGTTGAGCAACAGCAAGGCTTCCTACCCTCATGCTGAGCTGGTAACTTACCCAAGCCCACACGTCAAGTGCTACAAAAAGGAACATTCAATGAAAAACTCTTAAAACAACAGTTCTTAAGCCAGCATCTTAGCTAAATATCCCATAATTAGTCTTTTAGTCTACATTCCCAAAGCCATCAAATGACCTGCAGCAGTCACATAACTGGCTATGCCTCTTCCAAGGGAGGCGAGGAGGGAGACTGCGAGAAAGGACCTAGCGACCTACCACAAACACGCAGTTTATTCTTCAGGAAGCACTATAGGAACAACGGACTTTAAAGAGTAACCCTGC